TATATATATATATATAATCGGTTATGACACGCTCAAAATAAGTTTTTAAAATAATTTTCTAGGAATTCTACTTATTTTCCTTTTCTCTAAATAAATATATATATTTGGACCTGATGAAAGAATGGAGAAATCGTCTCCACTATAAATAACCCCAGGATATCCACTGAAGGACAAGGTGTGACCAGGAATAATCTCAGAACTTCTTGAACTTCTCTTGAAGGGCATATTATACTTCTTTATAATCCTGGAAGAAATATGAATTTTTTATCTTAAGTCTTGTTAAATTGTATTAACCATAACGAGACTGCAATTTCAGGGGACGAATTTATGAAATTTACATCACTCTTTTAACCTTTAAATGAGAAAGATATCGTCGTTATTCCTTCTAAAAATTGTTAATTTCCGGTAATTTTCTCCCTGTCTCTGAAGCTTAAATGCTCACTTTTATTAAATTGAAATATTTGTAAATTTTTTATGGTTGATAAGTTTGCAAGGTGTCGTATTGAATTGGATCTGGTAAAGTTACTCCTCTGTAAAGTCAAAGTCACTTCAAATTATTTATTCCCTTTAATTCCATAACACTGTTATTTGTAAGTATTAGGCTTTTAGGGCGCTTCGCACCCATCTTCTATTTCAATGTGAACATGTTCTCTTTGTGTACATTGTTAAACGAAAACAAACAAAAAATTTTGCGGATTTTATTTTAAAAAAAATTGTGAATTTTCTTAATTTTCAAAAATCAAATTTTGTTTGAGTTAAATTTTTGGGGCCACCGAGGTCCCACAAAGAAATCAGACCCGATCGGTTTAGCCTTTTTGACGTTCATTGGATACAAACGGACAGACAAACAAAACAGACACCCAAGGAAAGTATATATGGAGATAAATAGATATCTGTTTTGTATTGTTAAAACTATTTCACACTAAAGGTATGAAAATGGATTTGCATTTTAATTTAGTTTATAGGATCAAAGGAATTGAGTTTTGTCACAAATTCGAATTTTCTAATCCCTATACCTCTGTAACCTGATGGTGTTAACTTTCGTTATTCAAAAATTAAATAATTTAATCCATCAAAAGTGATAGTTTGAAGTATATAAGGTCTACGACTTTGGGTTGTACAGATATTGGGATTAAAAAATCAGAGATTGTGGCTAAGACTCATTCCTTTCCAACATTTTCATTTTATTTTTGATAAACTGTTTGTCCTGACCTGAGCATACTCTGGTAGCTGTTCCAGGTATCATGAGAGACAAGTAGGTCAGCGTTTCCAGGTAGTAATCTCAGTAGAGCAGAACAGTGTCCTTTTCCTAGATACAAAGATAAAGTTTCCAGGAAGTAATCACAGTAGAGCAGAACAGAGTCATTTTCCTAGATACAAAGATATAGTTTCTAGGAAGTAATCACAGTAGAGCAGAACAGAGTCATTTTCCTAGATACAAAGATATAGTTTCTAGGAAGTAATCTCAGTAGAGCAGAACAGTGTCCTTTTCCTAGATACAAAGATATAGTTTCTAGGAAGTAATCTCAGTTTAGCAGAACAGTGTCATTTTCCTAGATACAAAGATGTAGTTTCTAGGAAGTAATCACAGTAGAGCAGAACAAAGTCATTTTCCTAGATACAAAGATATAGTTTCTAGGAAGTAATCTTAGTAGAGCATTTCCTGGATACAAAGATATAGTTTCTAGGAAGTAATCTCAGTAGAGCAGAGCAGAGTCCTTTTCCTAGATACAAAGATATAGTTTCTAGGAAGTAATCTCAGTAGAGCAGAGCAGAGTCCTTTTCCTAGATACAAAGACATAGTTTCTAGGAAGTAATCTCAGTAGAGCAGAGCAGAGTCCTTTTCCTAGATACAAAGACATAGTTTCTAGGAAGTAATCTCAGTAGAGCAGAACAGAGTCATTTTCCTAGATACAAAGATTTAGTTTCTAGGAAGTAATCTCAGTTGAGCAGAACAGTGTCATTTTCCTAGATACAAAGATATAGTTTCTAGGAAGTAATCACAGTAGAGCAGAACAGAGTCATTTTACTAGATTCAAAGATATAGATACTAGGAAGTAATCTCAATAGAGCAGAACAGTGTCATTTTACTAGATTCAAAGATATAGTTTCTAGGAAGTATAAATCTCAATAGAGCAGAACAGTGTCATTTTACTAGATACAAAGATATAGTTTCTAGGAAGTAATCTTAGGATCTTGAATATAAGAAAACAGACAGTATAAATTCCGTACAGTCGGCTCTGAAGTCTCATTCTTTCTGGGAATCTCTGTATTTCAAGTCTAAGGTTGTAATTTTTGTATATGATGAACTACGTAGAGATTTAGACACCTCTAAAAGTATTTATCAAAGTTTTAGTCTTAACTTTAAAGTTACAGATAAATGTTTGATCCCTTAAAGGGTGTGACCGGCTATTTAAGGTAGTTGAACTGAGTATGCATGCAGTGTTGTGGAAAACTTCTTTCGGATTCATTTGAGACATATTAAACTTTTTAAAGATTTGTAAATCCTGAGTTTGAGCGCAAATTCAACGTTCAAAACTCCTACTTTGGGGGTGGATACGTTTTCTGAATTATTTTTTTTTTAATTATCCGAAAGAAGCTTTCCACAACACTGTATACTCAGTTCAACTACCTTACTTAGCCGGTCACTCCCTTTAATTAAAATTATCGCTGTAGGATATGACCTCCACCGGATATGGAATGTGGTATCTGGGAACCACAAATACGTGCAATAAATGGTATCTAAAATCTACACTTAATAAGATTTATACAAGTACTTAAACCTGTTTATATCTATTATGTGTGTAACCTGGCATTACAATACTTCAGCTATCTCCATATGTCGAGATAGCTTTATATGTTTAAATGCACGTACATAAATAACACCCTAGTAATAAAA